GTAATATTTATATCCTGTATAGATAGTATAATGAACTGTTATATCATACATAAAAATGTATTTTTCATGAAGACATGTAAATCATCACAAATAAGCATTTTATGACTTTGACTCATTTTCACATGGGTATTTAGTGTTATGCTCTCTCTAGGTTGATATCCATTATATCATTATAACTGTTATAATTAAGGCCATTTTCAGTTTAGTTTGCAACATAAAAGCATTTTGAGGCATTTTTGAATTGAACAAAGAAATATAAGAATGAAACTGTCTCATGTGTCATACAAATCCTGTCTTTCCAAGCTATTCTAAATGAAGCCACATGTTGACTTTTTAATTTAGTTCACCCAGGTTGACTTTTTAATTTAATTACTCAAAGGCTTTGATGAGATAGCCACAATGTCAGGATTTTTGTTAGCAACCAATGTTTTCTGAACACATAGGATGTGCTACAGTTCTAGCCTAAGAAAAAGTATCAAGTCTGTATGGATGATGACAATATGGAGTCAGAAATAGGTTGATAACCAGTCATTTATTGGGGAAAAGTACCCACATAAGGGAGCCAGGGACCAGGTTTGCACCTGAGCAGGACAAACCCAGAAATGCTTCCCAGTCAGCTCAGCTAGGTGAAAGAGAGCCGTGTGCAAGCCTCTCTCCTTCTTAAGCCCTTATTACTTAACTCTGACCACACCCGCTTGGGTCAGTGGTACTTCTAATCAGGGTTTCTCCCTACAATTTCCCTTTTAGTCTAAAGAGGATTTAAACTTAACAGTGTAAGTTATCTATAATTAACAATCACTTGGGCCTGGTCACAGCTACCATTGACCAGGGTTTCTCCCTTCAAGTCTGTCTTCATGTATAGTTCATATGACTGTACAAATACACAGATTGTGCAATGAAAGTGAGTTCTTTTTATATTTCTCTTATATGGCCTGTAGACTGTTATGTTTGCAATCCTTTGTCTTTGACTAAATCTAAAGTTCACCTAGGGTAGGGTAGACTTGTAAATTCCACTCCCACCATTGCTTTGGCCAATTGGAATTTGTTCAATGTTTATACAGGAAATTTCTTTCCATGTTAAACAGTTGATGTGTAAAATCTATCCACTGCTTAGGTCTAAAGTCAAAGCCTGTCTATACTTGAGTATTTATATTTCTTTATCTGGTAGACTGGGGAAAATTGTTCACTAAGAGAGGCAATGGGATAAAGAGACACATTTAATTATTATTTAGTGAAATGTTATGACTTAAACAATTTAGAAAGTTTCATTTTCATGTTTAATAATGCATAATTACATTACAAAATCTTGCAATAATGAAGTCTCTTATAGAGCTGTGGACTGGTTGTCAAAGAGAGACATTTGGCACAAGCAAGTTCTTCTTTCTTAACACACTAAAAGGAGAGCATTACAAGTTTCACAAATGGCTCCCAGGAGTAGCATTAGAATAGGCACAATTATATCTAGACTCTTCTTTAATGAGTCCCATGACTATATTTAAAACCTTATAGAAGTTTGGCTGGCCATGGAAGCTGAGTTCTACAATGAGTGGGCTTTAAATCGACATAAAGTGCTCTTTAGCAAACTTGTGGTATCATATTTGTTCAGTTTAGAGTTAACGTGGGAAGAGGGAAAGGTGTTTGCTACCAACTACTCAATGGTGTGTGGTTCTGTGTTCTAGAGTTTTCTCTCTGTTGTTGAGCTGTGGTGGCTGCAAGATGGGCCCTCTCTTTTTGAGAAGGGTGTGTAGGTATGCTCTCCTTAGCATCCTTTCTGCTCTTTTATTCTGAAAAGTTTTAGTTCTCAATATAATGAACATGTTTTCAGCGTAACTTCACATAATGGTTCAATTTGGTAAGGTTATTTTCAAACATTTTGGAATTTTTACATCTAACTTTTAGCAACTAAGAAATAGTTGTTACATTATTTTTAAACTATGCTAATATATTTTGTGATGTAAGAAAGTTTCTATCTTTATGCAGCTCAGGACTTTTCCTGGAGACTCTAAAGAGTTCACAAGACCCACAAAATTACATGCTTAAAGTTTGAAATGAACATTTATATGTTCATTGTTTATATAAAAACATGTAAAATATATTTACAGATTAGGTCTAAAGTCAAGGCTGGTCTATACTTGAGTATTTATATTTTTTTATTTGGTAGAATGGGGAGAACTGTGTCAACTAAGGCAAGCAACAGGACAGAGTCATACTTAATGATTATTTAAGAAATAATTTTTATTGGAGGACTATAACAAAAATTCTCGATTAGGTTTATATATTTTATTTTATGTAAGAGTGCTTTGTTTGTATGTATGTACACCAAGTGTGTTCTTGGTGTTCTTAGAGGTCAGAAGAGGCTGTCAGATCCCTTGGAACTGGAGTCACAGAAGATTGTGAATCATCATTTGGGTGTTGGGAATTGAGCCTGGGTCTTCTGGAAGAGCAGCCAGTGACCTTAACTACTGAGTCATTTCCTCAGAACCAAGGGCCATGTATTTGCCTAACTTTTACTCTCCAAAGGGTTAAGAACTTGTCTCTATAAACTGTAGGATCTTCATTGAAGGGAACTAATTAACTCTCTTTTACTTCCTACTGCCCCAATGCTGACTGGTGGCCTTAAAACCTTAGCTTGACAGTTTATGATGGTGTGATCCAGGACGTGACTGTGTTACTGTGATCCCCTTTTACACTGTTTTAATTGTTAAACAATTTTTCTATAGCTGTAACTGAAGAATATTTTAGAATGAGAGTTCTTCCACAAAGGAACAAGCCAGCTCAATAGAAAAGTGCTACATTAATGTTTTCTGGATCCTATAAGCTCCCCTTCCTCTCAATAGTTATTTTCCTGTTCTTTGTACCCTGTCACTAAAATACCAACTACCATTCTCCAGGCTTAGCTACAAATGGAATTGTCACCTCTGAATAGCAAGGGACTTCTTTTCTACAACATATGCTCTACTTCCTCCCAACTTAGGGTCACCAGAGAGAGCGTTGTTTGTCACTCCTGCCTCCACTTCATTATCTTATATTTTTCTCTTATGATATATAGTTGTCATGCTAAAGTTGTCATGGAAACCATGACTGCAGTACTTACCAAGTGATCTGCCATGCTGCATGATAAGGCTGGAGTTGAGTGAGGCTGGAAGGGAGTACGCAGAAGGGGAAAATGGCCTCTGATAGTAACTCACTGGACTCACAGCACCGCCAGAGTTGCCATTGATGGTTATCTGGCTCTGAGAAAAGCACACGGACCTTGTTATAGTACATGGTTCCCTGTAGACATCACCCCTATAAGTGGCAGCAAGAGTTTCCAACTATTGGACAGTCATCAACTACAAGGCTTTTGTTCAGTTTGAAAACTGATGCCAGAGGGACAAAGAACTTTTCAGTTTTCTCCATCCTATCTTTCATTTGTCACTCTTTTATATTATCAGAGGGTATGGGAAGTGGTTAAGAAGAAGGAGAGCAGCTGGCCAGTAGGCATACCAGTCTGCCTTTAGAGGTGTCAACAACAGGGGTCACTGCCAAACAACTAGGGAGGACAGCCTGTCCTTAAGTAGTCACAACTCTCTCATGTCATTCTGCATGGTGGATTTGAAATGAATGCTCTCTGACAGGAGGAGAAGTGCTGGTTCACAACTCAGTCAGAATACCCTCTAATGAATCAATGTTTCCAAAACAAGGTGACTAACACAGAAGACAAGTGGTTGGACTTATGAGTCATGGAATTACCTATTCTAGTAGTCACATACCTGGTAAACCATTGTAAGGGTGTTAAAACACTGACTTCTCCCTATTTCAACTTTATTTAGCATACTGATTTCCTAATAAGTTGAGTTGACTTGTTGACATCTAATTATTTTCTATTTCTAATGCTACCTGTAGCTTTTTGCTGAGATTGCCACACATGTGCTTCTTTTGTGGTTGTTAAAACATGCAACTAGATATGATGACCTAGTAGATAATGAGAGGACACCTGTTGTGACTGAGTTGAATCAGCTTTGATGGTAGAAGTGGAACTCAGGACTATCTTTGCACAGCATACCATTGACAATTATGCAAACTGAATAGTGCATGCAAATGAGATAAAACGTTAGCAGGAATATTTAGTTAAAAGAACATTACAGATAAGTACATATAAACACAAATAAGCACAGACATAGAGACTCATAACTTACAAACTTTTCTACTTTTTTAAAACAAAATAAGCTTTGATTTTAAAAGTATGAAGCACAGCAGATGAGTGAGTATTTATGACCTGACTCTAAGATTATTATGCTTTCGAATGATCCAGAAGAAAACTAATTTACTTAAGTCATATTACACCAGGTGGTGGTGGTGTGCACCTTTAATTCCAGCACTCAGAAGGCAGAGGCAGGTGGATCTCTGTGAGTTTGAGGCCAGCCTGGTCTACAGAGTGAATTCCAGGACAGTGAAGGCTACACAGAGAAACCCTGTCTCAAAAAACCAAAAAAAAAAAAATCATAAAAAAGAAGTCATATCACATAAGTCCTAAAATCAATGAATATTCAATTATTAGGATTGTACTCAAATATTTTTAAGCTACTAGAAAAATTCTCTTATTTTCTAACTAGCCACACAGTAAGGACTTTTGAGCTGGACATGAAGCAAGTGTAAAGCACAGAAAGGACCAGAACTTCAGGGCCTTACTTTACTCTGCTGAACAAGCTACAAATAGTTTTGTCTCTTCTTCTAAATCAACTTTGACATGTTATGATAATGAACATAAAAAACAGAACAATTTTTATTAAAAATTAAGGTTTCTAGTACAGTTGAATATCCCTTATCCAAATTCTTTGGCTGTGAGATATTCATAAATACATATGACATCGTTTTTTTGGGGGATGGATAGAACCCAAGTCTAAATTTGAAATTAGTTAATTTTAATAGATAATTTATATGTATAGCTTGAAGGTAATTTTATAGAACATTTTGGTGTATTTGAGTTTCTTTTTAATCTATATATTTTATGTATATGGTTACTTTGTCTGGATGTATGTCTGCACACCAGAAGAGAGGGTATCAGATCCTATTATAGTTGGTTTTGAGCTGCCATGTGGGTGCTGAGAATTGAATCTAGGTCCTCTTCAAGAGCAGCCAGTGCTCTTAACCACTAAGCCATCCAACTCTCCAGTCCCTGTTTTTTTTTTTTTATCACACATGAAGTCAGGTGTGGAATTTTAAACTTACAATGTCATGCCAATGCTTAAAATGTTTACAGTTTAGAAAAATTTAAAAATTTGGATTAGGGATACCAAACCTATATAATGCTTCAGCAATGTGAATTATTTTGATGGTTCCAATAGCACTAATTATAGATAAAAGAATAAATATTGAAAGCAGATTTACTTTTTAAATCATATTAACTTAAATGTCTCATGGAAAATTCATGTGCAATAAACTGATAATTGGGACTAGTTTCAGTTACAGCACTTCTGATGGTGTACAAATTATATAAAAGATGTAAAAGTGAGGATCCAAAAGGGCCTTAACTAATGAAACATTTTTTCTTGTTGTTGACGATCCTGAAAAAAAGTCATTAAACTTAAAATATGAAACAAACAAAGAAACAAAACCTGTTTCCAACACAGTAGGACATGGAAGGGACCCATACCCAAGGCTAGTGGCTGGTCATCTGTGGCCAGAGATTTGGTCAGGTTATTCCCAGAAAACAAATTTTATAACAAGCCACTTGATGAATACTAAGTCACCCCAAATAACTGAAAAGGTGGTTTTTTTTTTAAATTTCTGTAGTTGTAGAAGTTAAAAATAAATATGGCTTGTGGCATTTCTCTGTGCATGAAAACTAAAGTTTTATGTTTTGATAGTACTTAGCAACTATGTAGCACAGATATATTTTCCCTTTGACAGAACCTATCAGGATTTTATGATGGTAACAATTTCAGAAATTCTCTCTCTCTCTCTCCCTCTCTCTCCTCAAAGTTGTACTTCCTTCAACAGAAGTCACAATCTCTCCATTATCAGTGACTGAGAATCTGCATGATAAAATTAACATTTTATCCATTCATATTAGCTACTGATTAGTGATTGCTAAATGAAATTACAGACATATTTCAATGATATTATACACATGAGAACTAGTTTTATATTATATAAATGAAAGACAAATTGTTGAGATATAAAATAAAAATGTTTCATAAATTTCAAGACTGGGATGGCTCAGGAAAAATATTTCAAAATGAGCTCAGGCCAAATTTCCATAAGATGGGCTAAGATTGTTTACGCCATTCACTTCCATAGTGACAGAAGAGCTCATCAGAGGGGGCAATCGTCAAAAGAGTCAGAACCACTCAAGGGAGAAAGACAGTGCACAAACTATTAACCCAGGACACAGAGATGTGAATCTTAGAGTCAGGGTCCTGTTCCAGGTATTAATGGTAAGTTACAATGGTTGAAACATTTTGGACTTTCTCTATAAATTAACCATAATGAATGACGATGATCTACTTATTTACATTTCTGATACACTGCCTTATAAGTGAACCACTTTATACCTTACAAGAAAAACAGTAAATCAGAAGCAGACCATTTTAGACTTACCATAAATAGCACCTATGTGCAAGAAGGGAGTATCAGTAAAAATTTTAGCATCAAGTGGGCTTAATGAGGATGACTCCAATAGCTTTCCCTAACAGATAGTATAGAGTTGGTTTGCTAACCAATACCTATGCAAATAAAAATGTTTGGCTACAAAACCCAGATAGCAAATAAGTGCAGTCCTTAAAAATTAAACAAAACATGGTGGAAGCAAAGGAAGGAAGGATGGATAATTACATGAGTGGCAACAGGGATTGCTAAGGTGATGCCATCTGTTACAGCAGATCTCTAACCCCAGGTTGGGGAAGGTGTCTCAGAGCAATCAGTAGTGTCAGAGTTTCCCAGTTGTAGTTTAACCAGAATGGCTGTGGAGGACTCATTCTCAGATTGGGAAGAGTGCTCACTCAGGGAAGTGTCTGTCCTGTGGCATGGCTGTGTATAAGGATGTTAGGGGCTAGGAAAGGATGTTTACATAAACAAGGCGAGAGGGCCTGGGTTGAAGGCCGGCAGGATGGCTCCAGATCATCAGGTGGTGGTGGGCTGGAGCTATTGCCTGGTGCAAAAGGAGGCTTGGAAAAAGCCATCACAGGCAGGCAGGATGAAGAGGCATCTGGCGTGCTTTCTCTGTGTGTCTGTGAAGCTTTTACCTCCAACACACTGGCAGTTAAGTGCTGAGTTTGAGGGGAAAGAATAAGAAGAGGAAGTGTAAATCATTCAAATTAATAAGATTAACTGTTTTACACCATGGCAGAGAGGGTGAATCATTGGTTTAATGTGAAAACACTTTCTTTAGAAATACATTCACATGGATTAGTTATCCAACACGAAGTATGGGAAAAAGCGTGGAAGCGTGAAGAACATGAATGCAGTACATCTGGGGGAAAGGCCCTTGTTCCTATAGTATTGCAGGGCGAGTGTGGGTAAGAATGAGAAACCCTTGACAGGATGGAGCTTCCTCTTCAGAAGTTTTCATGCTTTGTCCTAGTGACAATGGAGTGATAACAAGTTATCTGTTGCTTGGCAGAACTTGAAGAAAAATCTTGGATCCTAGTTCTTCCTATTGCTTCTGCACTGTCAAAATAGTCTTCCAATAGAAGTCTATTTGTCTTTTAAATTTTTTTTTTTCTGGCTTACTATTTAAGTCGATCAAGCTAAACAACTACATGGAAAGGGGGTTTCTGTTTACTTTCTACTCACCAAGTCTGTTCATTGGTTTCACTGTGAAATACAAAAACAATTGTATTTTTAAATACGCTAACAGTACTAGCAGTGGTGTTGATGTGCGAAAATAAATGAAAACAAAAATCAACCACTGACAATGGTTAGTTAGAGTGGATTTGGGTTAGTTGGAGCTGTCTTAAGAAAAGGAGAAAGAAACTGAAGGGGAAATTGAACGTTTAAGAACCCTGAACCTGCATGAAACCCAAGAGTTTGAGCACCAGGAGGGAAACAACCAAACAAGGAGAGAAAAGATCCCCGTGAAAGGTTTTGGTTGGCATCTGTTCTATATGGTGTCAGATGTGATGAGCATCTGATTCAATGAAAGGACAAGGAAAATGGGAGCATTTTACTCCTTTTCCTTCTTACCCAAAGGATGCTTTCTCTTCTTTCTTTTGTTGTGTGGAGTGTCAGAGGTATATAAGATGGCTAGAGA